CATAACTTCATCGCTTCGTAGCTTCATCGCTTCATAACTTCATCACTTCATAACTTCATAACTTCATAACTTCATTGCTTCGTAGCTTCATCGCTTCATAACTTCATCACTTCATAACTTCATCACTTCATAACTTCATTGCTTCGTAGCTTCATCGCTTCATAACTTCATAGCTTCATAACTTCATCGCTTCATAGCTTCATCGCTTCATAACTTCATAGCTTCATAACTTCATAGCTTCATCGCTTCATAACTTCATCGCTTCGTAACTTCATCGCTTCATAACTTCATCGCTTCGTAACTTCATCGCTTCATAACTTCATCGCTTCATAACTTCATAGCATCATCGCTTCATAGCTTCATCGCTTCATAACTTCATCGCTTCATAACTTCATCGCTTCGTAACTTCATCGCTTCATAACTTCATCGCTTCATAACTTTATAGCTTCATAACTTCATAGCATCATCGCTTCATAGCTTCATAGCTTCATCGCTTCATAGCTTCATAGCTTCATAGCTTCATAGCTTCATCGCTTCATAGCTTCATCGCTTCATCGCTTCATAGCTTCATCGCTTCGTAACTTCATCGCTTCATAACTTCATCGCTTCATAACTTCATAGCTTCATTTCACACTGTTATAACCGCTTCATAGCTTCATCGCTTCATCGCTTCATAACTTCATCGCTTCATAACTTCATCGCTTCGTAACTTCATCGCTTCATAACTTCATAGCTTCATAACTTCATAGCTTCATCGCTTCGTAACTTCATAACTTCATAGCTTCATAACTTCATCGCTTCATAACTTCATCGCTTTATAGCTTCATCACTTCGTAACTTCATAGCTTCATCGCTTCATAACTTCATCGCTTCGTAACTTCATCGCTTCATAACTTCATCGCTTCGTAACTTCATCGCTTCATAACTTCATCGCTTCATAACTTCATAGCTTCATCGCTTCATAGCTTCATCGCTTCATAACTTCATCGCTTCATAACTTCATCGCTTCGTAACTTCATCGCTTCATAACTTCATCGCTTCATAACTTTATAGCTTCATAACTTCATAGCATCATCGCTTCATAGCTTCATCGCTTCATAACTTCATCGCTTCGTAACTTCATCGCTTCATAGCATCATCGCTTCATAGCTTCGTAGCTTCATAGCTTCATAACTTCATCGCTTCATAACTTCATAGCTTCATAACTTCATAGCATCATCGCTTCATAGCTTCATCGCTTCATCGCTTCATAACTTCATCGCTTCGTAACTTCATCGCTTCATAACTTCATCGCTTCATAACTTCATAGCTTCATAACTTCATAGCATCATCGCTTCATAGCTTCATCGCTTCATCGCTTCATAACTTCATCGCTTCATAACTTCATCGCTTCGTAACTTCATCGCTTCATAACTTCATAGCTTCATAACTTCATAGCTTCATCGCTTCGTAACTTCGTAGCTTCATAGCTTCATCGCTACACGGCACCAGACGCTCACATGACCAGTCGGCCCTCGGGAGAGTCGTGGCAAAATTGGATTAAAACGCGGGGGGCCTGTTGATGCTGCTGCAGTCGTTAATTGGACTTGGCAGCTGGGGAAGTCCCCTCGTCAGCGTTGTGCGCAGGGTGTGTGTGTGTGCGTGCGTGTGTGTGTGCGTGTGTTTGCACACGGGTACCTTTATATCCCCGAGATGCACATAGTGCTGCCCCCCCCCCAATATACGACCGGCCTCAGTCGTACCTGCAAAGCTGTCGGCTGAGGACAGACTCACTTCGTCATTAGAAAATAATTTTTAAAAACCTGAGTGGGGGGTTCAGAGGTGGACGCAGCTCGAGAGGACGGGGGCTGGCTAATGGCCGTTGACCCCCTCCCCTCCAACGCGGTGCAACAGGTATTAGCTGCCTAATGAACTGATGGAGCTGCGGGGGTTCAGAGTCATCTATCGGTGGGTTCAGGGGCACAGGACACTTTTAAAAGACACCATTACATCCGAGACAGATCATCAGATTACAAATCAGATCCCTCGGTCTCCTCTTAGTTCTCCTGAAGGTCTTTACAAGGTTCCACCTGAAGGAAACGGACCAATCAGAGCGGAGGACTGCCTCCCCGCTCATCAGCTAAATCCACAACTCATTACCGACGGTTTTTAGAACTTGTTCTCTGGGGTGACCTTCCCCGTCCCGCTCAGGACCACCGCTATGATATGGGTGAGACTTGGTTTTTAGGTCTCAAACTGTTCTTCTAATATTTCTGCTAACAAGATATTTCTACAGCTTCTGCATAATTTCGTGCAGAGAGAAAAACATCCACATTAATAAAGTACACTGATACAAATGAATTAATTATTAGTCTGAAGCAATCAACGTTGATCAAATTATTCACTTCCCAAATTGCCAAAGTAGTAACTTCAATGAAGAACCTCTGCCATCTTTAAACGGCATCTTTGCAATGTTCCCTCTCTTCATCTTCTCCTCATAATCTCCCTCATCATAATCACCATCCTCGCATGATGATTTCCATCATCATTTCTCCTTATCTACCACCTTTTTTCTCCTTCATTTGCTTTTCTTTTGAGGCCCTTTTCTGCATCTCGTCTTCTCGCCTCCCTCAAGTCGCCTCTTCTGTCCCAGCTATTATAAACTGCATGAGGACAAAGGACGCCACGGCCTCCTCTTCTCCGAGAGCCACTCGTATGCGGGAGATGTTTCTTCTGCCACGTATGTGGGCTTCAAGAAGGCAACAGGACCTGTGCACCGTAACCATGGAGAGAGATTTGATATTTCTTCACCAGAAACTCCTTGTGAATTACTGAGACACTAAATGGAGTCCATTACTAAATTGTGCAGGAAATGTGGAAAGTGGCTGGATTGGGTTCTCTATGTAAAGGCAGAGCTCAGTGTCTCACTAGAGAAGAACCGGAGAGGAGAAGCAGAACCGGTGCAGATCACTTCTTCTGTTTTAGAACCTAAAAGAATCTGTGCATTGAGTTATATTTCACCTGTGTGTCAGACGGACCTGATGTCTCCTGAACTCTCACTTAGACAGACGCAGAACACGAGATGTACACTGAAAGGGATCTTCTCCAGAATACGAGCACATTGTGTGTGA